CTCTGTCTCAAAAAAAAAAAAAAAAAAGAGGTAGAGTCTTGCTCTGGCTCAGGCTGGTCTCAAACCTGTGAGCTCAGGCAATCCACCCACTGTGGCCTCCCAAGTGCTGAGATTACAGGCATGAGCCACCATTCTGGCACTTTTAAGTTTCTTAAGAAGCTTGTCTGTGAGATGCCATGCTATTCTCTAGCTTCTTTTCTCTCTCTTTCCCTATACCATCTCTTCTCTCATTCCTTCTCTCCTCTAAAATACAAAATAATGATCCAGCACACGGGGCCGGTGCCCTACCCCTTTGAGCCACAGGCGCCACCCTTAAGGAGGTACTTTTATATCCTTAAAATAAAAAGCAGCTTATCTGTCTCTCTGTTCTAAGGATATTCGTTCTTCAACAGCTTCACTGCAAAAGCAGCAGAACATTAAATAATGAGGCACTAAGGCCTGATGTGGTGGCTTGTGCCTATAATCCTAGCACTCTGGGATGCCAATACAGGAGGATCACTTGAGGCCAGAAGTTTGAGACCAGCGTAAGCAAGAGTGAGATCCCACCTCTAGCAAAAATAGAAAAAAATTAGCCAGGCATAGCACAGCACCTTTAGTTCCAGCTACTCAGGAGGCAGAGGCAGAAGGATTGCTTCAGCCCAGGAGTCTGAAGTTGCTGTGAACTACAATGCACCACTGCACTCTACCTAGGGCAACAGAGTGAGATTGTCTCAAAAAAAAAAAAAAAAAAAAGCCCTGGAAATCAGGGGTGAAGGCAAAGTAAAGGGACTGTATTAAACAGGAGGTGCCTCAGGAAAAACGTAAGAAAAGGAGATGGAAGCAAAGTAATTTCTAAGTTACAGCTTCCTGGCCCTTTGCCTGGCAGAAATACAAGATTATGGCTCGGCGCCAGCCACATACACCTAAGTGACGGGTTCGAATTCAGCCCGGGCCCACCAAACAACAATGATGGCTGCAACCAAAAAATAGCCAGGCGTGGTGGCGGGCGCCTGTGGTCCCAGCTACTTGGGAGGCGGAGGCAGGAGACTCGCTTGAGCCCAGGAGTTGGAGGTTGCTGTGAGCTGT